GCCGGGACGGGGACTCAGGGGCCCAGGCTGGACTGGCCCGAGGACTCTGAGGACTCACTCAGCTCGGGGGGCAGCGACTCTGACGAGAGCGTTTACAAGGTGCTGCTGCTGGGGGCGCCCGGCGTGGGCAAGAGCGCCCTGGCGCGCATCTTCGGCGGTGTGGAGGATGGTCCCGAAGCAGAGGCAGCAGGTGAGCGGATCGAGCTGTTCGCGAGAGGGGAGATCCCGGGGCTAGGACTGAGGACTGAGACCAGGACTCAAAGCCGCAAATACCATGGAAGAATTTATTATTATTATTTTTATTATTATTATTATTTTGAGACGGAGTTTCGCTCTTTCGCCCAGGCTGGAGTGCAGTGGCGCGATCTAGGCTCACTGCAACCTCTGCCTTCGGGTTTCAAGGGATTCTCCTGCCTCAGCCTCCAGAGTAGCTGGGATTACAGGCGCCCACCACCATGCCCGGCTAATTTTTGTGTTTTTAGTAGAGTTGGGATTTCACCATGTTGGCCAGGCTGGTCTCGAACTTCTGACGTCGTGATCCACCCGCCTTGGCTTCCCAAGGTGCTGGGATTACAGGCGTGAGCCACTGCGCCTGGCCAATACTGTGGAATTCTATTCGTGTTTTCAGAATCACGCTTCTACCTACTCATTTCATAAATGGGGAAAGGAAAGGAGAAGGGACACCCCCCGGCCTTTGGTAGGGAAGAAATGCCCAGAGTAGAAGGCCAGGGCATAGATATGGCTGCTCTGTGGGATGGGACCGGACATCCCTCCCTGCCTATCAGGGACAGGTCAGAGTTTCGAACCAGAGGGATTTCTAAGAGAGGAGCCCTAGGTGGCCAAGGTCCCTAGGGAGCGGGACAGTCACTATTCTAACTCAGGCCACTGGGTCAGAGCCACCTTGGGACCCAGGCAGCAGGAGGACGGGGGGCATTGGAGCAGCCACCTGGGACATTGCTAGCTTGGGGGGCATGTGGATAGAGGTCAGGCACACCATGCCCTCGAGCCCCCACTTCCCTGCCTGGCACTGCTGTTGCCACATACCAGCATCTGCAAGTGGAGTGGAGGATGAGGAGGGCTCTGGGGAGGAGCTGGAGGGTGTGGCCATAACAGGAAATCTGGCAGCAGGGGCTTTGACAGTCAGCTGATAACCTGTTTACTGGTCTCCTGCCTAGGGCACACCTATGATCGCTCCATTGTGGTGGACGGAGAAGAGGCATCACTCATGGTCTACGACATTTGGGAGCAGGTAGGGTACAGGCTGAGACCCAGGGCAGGGGAGGGAGGAGTGAGTTGGGGTAGGGGTCTGGGAGTGCCAGGCTTGTGTCAGGGTCATGAGGACTGTTGGGCAGACTATGTGTGTGTGTTCCCCAGGACGGGGGCCGCTGGTTGCCCGGACACTGCATGGCCATGGGGGATGCCTATGTCATCGTGTACTCAGTGACGGACAAGGGCAGCTTCGAGAAGGCCTCAGAACTGCGGGTCCAGCTGCGGCGTGCACGGCAAACAGATGATGTGCCCATCATCCTTGTGGGCAACAAGAGCGACCTGGTGCGCTCTCGTGAGGTCTCGGTGGATGGTGAGTAGGCGGCAGGTTGCAGGGGGAGGGAGTGCCCAGCTGGGCCCTGATATAGGCAGTCTTGGCTCAACTTGAGTCCCTGGGGATCATCAGAGGCTAAAAATGTTCAGAAAGAAAACTGGCGGGGAGGGAAATGGGAGAGAGCCGGTGCCTGCTCACAGGGCTCCAGAAGGCCCCAGAGGGGTGGGGAAAGAACCAAATCTGATAGGGGAGCTGGGGGACCGCAGGGCCCTCCTCTCCTGCCCCTCTTGGTCCTGGCCTGGCTGGTTTCGGGGTAAGTGGGTGGACGAGAGTGTAGGGGAACAGGCCAGGAGGTCAGAGTCCTAGGTCTCGGCCATTCTTACAGTAGACTTGGCCCTGGGGAAGACCCGTCCCACTTGGCCTCAGCATCCTTTCCTATGGGTCCTGGTACTGAGCCCCTCAGAGGAACCCAGCAGTCACTTGGTGACCTTGCCCACGCAACCCCAATCCACTGCATCATTCATCATGATATAACCTCTAATTAAAAACTACTAAGTTGTGCCAGGAGCAGTGGCTCACGCCTGTAATCCCAGCACTTTGGGAGGCCGAGGCGGGCGGATCATGAGGTCAGGAGATCAAGACCCATCCTGGCTAGCACAGGGAAACCCGGTCTCTACTAAAAATACAAAAAATTAGCCAGGCATAGTGGCGGGCACCTGTAGTCCCAGCTACTTGGGAGGCTGAGGCAGGAGAATGGCATGAACCCAGGAGGCGGCACTTGCAGTGAGCTGAGATTGTGCCAGTGCACTCCGGCCTGGGACACAGCAAGACTCTGTCTCAGAAAAAAAAAAAACAAAAAACAAAACAAAACAAAAAACTAAGTTGTCCAACATACTTCTCATTTTCCTGTGTTTACTACTGTTGTACTTTAAGTATCAGGCTTCAAATTTTTTTCATTAAATGGATCTCCTTTTGAGGGCCACTGTTTTGGGGGCTCCTTAAACGAAGGCACTCTGCCTACTGGGTGACGCAGCAGGGACCAGTACCCTCAGTACAGGAGCTGGGGTCTCTGTGTTTTGGGGGAGGACCCTGCAAATTCTCGAGTGGCAGTTTCCATGGGTGGCCAGGGTTGGAGGGGACTCCTCACTCACCCACCCTTTATTTACTGGTGCCTGCCTGTCCCCACCCACACAGAGGGCCGGGCCTGTGCGGTGGTCTTTGACTGCAAGTTCATTGAGACATCAGCGGCATTGCACCACAATGTCCAGGCCCTGTTTGAAGGTGTCGTGCGCCAAATACGCCTGCGCAGGGACAGCAAAGAGGCCAACGCGCGACGGCAAGCAGGTACCCGGAGGCGAGAGAGCCTTGGCAAAAAGGCGAAGCGCTTCCTGGGCCGCATCGTAGCTCGTAACAGCCGCAAGATGGCCTTTCGCGCCAAGTCCAAGTCCTGCCACGACCTCTCGGTTCTCTAGGTCCCACCCGCTCTCAGTATGGTGGGAGACGGACGGACGGGTTGGTGGGCTGGCCCAGCCAACTGCCCCAGGTGCCTCAGGGCTAGCTCAGACTCTGGGTCCCTTGGAGCTGCCAGCCGGGTACCCCCAACCTCATGGTCATGGACAGACAGACAGTGTTGCCCAGTGAGGCCAGGGGCCAGTGAGGGCTGGGCCCACAGAGATGCATGCGCAGGCTCATCTGCGTCCCAAGCAGCCGGAGCGCAGCCGCGGGGCAGGCCTGTGTGCCGGGAGAGGACTCTGACTTTTTTCACAACCCGGGTGTGCCTGCCCTGGAGGGAGGCTGTTCAGTGCTGTGGCTATTTGTTTACATGCAGATTTTTGTAATAAAGACTATTTCCTGATATGTCATGGCTGTTGACTGTCTTTCCTCCTATCTGGGCGCTTCAGGAGCTGGAAGGATTTCTGAAGTTGAGGGATGGGGGCTCACTGTCCCACCCTAGTGTGTGGCCATGATGTGTTAATGTGGGGGTCCGGATATAGCCAGCTGGGATGGGCATCGGGTCTGGCTGGGGGTTCAAGGAGCAGGAGACACAAACCCCTCCCAGTCCCTGTTATCCAGACTCTTCTCTTTCTGCATGGGGCCTGGCATTGCCCAACTGATTGAGGGTTCAATCACCTCACTGTCCATAAAGGGAAACTGAGGCTGCTTAAGGGAGCACATTCTGCCCTGGGTCTCACAACCAGGCAGGAACCCTGAGTCTCACAACCAGGCAGGAACCCTGGGTCTGGCTCCACGGCTGGTATTTCTGCCCTGTTCCCTCTTGAAGGACCGGAATCAGCTGAGGTTGGGGATAGAGAATGCCGAGGGATGGTTTGTGAAGGCACACACAGGCACACTCAGCTCCACATGGCTCCTTCACCTCTTCGCTGGGGTTGAGCTACTGAGGAGGCCCTCACTGTTCTCTCCACCATGAGTATTCAGGCAAAAACATTTCACGCTCAGCATTGGCTAATTCAGTTTTGGTGGGAGCAGCTGCCTGGAGCCTGCCCTGCCTAGAATGAGAGGTCTTGCATTTGTATAGGAAGGTGTACTCGTGCTTGTGGTTGGGGATGCACCTGTCTCCCTGCCCACCCATGCCTGTGGCTCCCTCATGCTTGGCACAAGTGCTGCTAAGAGTTTTTATCTGCATGGTCTCAGGAAAAATCGTCCCCATTTGGTGCTGGGTGGGAAGTGGCTGAGTGGGGACTGGTATACAGGTCTGCCCATCTCCAAAGCCTGGAGGCAGCCTGGGGCGAGGTGGGGGGCAGTTTCTAAGAAGGTTCTGGGCCAGGGTCCATACGTTCCTTCCTTAGTTCAATTTATTCATTCCACAGACTCCAGGGAGCCCTGGCAACCTGGTTAGAATTCTGACTGCAGCTTGTTGAATTGCAGGAGGAGGCTTGAGGGCTGCCCCTCCATGTACCAGGGAGTGCTGAGATTCACCCACGTGCTCCCCAGCGCAGAGGTAACTTCTCAGAGCTGTTGCTGCTCTGCCCCTCCTCCCAACATACTTCAAGGAATACAGAAGGCATGGTATTTTCAGAGCAAGTGAGGGTCCTCAGGCCTTCCTGGCTCTGTCACTTATTGACTGTGTGACCGTAGGCAAACCACTCAGCTTCTCTGTGCCCCAGCGTGTGACATGGGTGCAATGCCCCTTCAGAACACAGTATGTGGCATAATGAAGGTATGTGCTCAGAGCAGTGCTGGGCACATAGCAGGAGTTTAACACGTTTGAAACCCCCTTCAACCTCTCCACAATGCACTGCTCCTGGTTGGGTGCCAGAGTGACCCTGAAGCAGGCACTCAGCTTGTGACAAGGCTGGGGGCAGCTGGGGGTAGCTTCTGACCTGAGAGAGACTAATCAGGTACACAGTGGGAAGGACTTCACGGGGACCATGGGAGGCTTCGCGGGGACCAAGGCTGGGGAGGGAATAGAGACCAGGATCTTCCCACCCTCTCCCCTCGTTCCAGACTCCCAGGCCTCAGAAGTGTCTCCTGGCTCTGCTTGGCTGCCCTCATTGCGGGGAGAGCCCCTGTTCAGCCCTGTAACTCCCTCAAGGTCACCTGAGCCGGTTTAATCTTCTTAGAGGCACAAGACCGCCCATTGTCTCAGCCCTGTCACTGTTGAGTGGCCAGTGTAAGGACTTGGGGAGCTCACAGGCTGCTGCACTCCCCCACCACAGGTCCCCCTGGGGGGTGGTCTGGAGCCCCAATACCCAGTTCCACTCATGCACTGCTCATCCATCCTTTGCCACCTCCAGCTCCTTGTCTTAGTTCCACAAGCCATGGGGAGTTGCCAGGGCAGAACGAGAGCCAGGTCATTTCTGAGTCCCTGAGTTCTGCTCTCAAGGGGCTCCCAGTCTAATGGAAGACGCAGACAATGACAATCTGGTGTCCTCTGTGTATTAATAGAGATAGCACATGGCATGGCGTGAGGGGGTGGGGTGTTCCCAGGAGACTCCTGAACCAGCCTGGGAACACAGGGGAAGTTTCCTGGAAAAAGGAGTATTTGAGCTGAGTACTGAAGCATGAGCAGGTGCTTACCACACAGATGAACGAGCGGGAAGGGTGTTCCAGGCACAAGGAACAGAGTGTGCAAAGGTGTGGCTGCAGACGCTGGAGCCTGGGAGATAAGTGAGACCAAGTCTGGAGCCACAGAAAAAGTAGTGTCCAGACCCAGAGGGCCAAGGAATACCCCCTGGGCTGTGTTGGGGTCGAGGGAGTGCCAGGCCAACCATCTCCCCACCTCCCGGGGCTGGCAGTCACGGATGCTGAGCAGCTCCTAACTTTCCAAAGTCAATGAGTAACCTGGGGGGCTGGGCGGGGCCAGGCCTGCTGCTATGGGCCCAGTGGCCTTTTTCATTCCTGAGCAAGCGTGGCTGAACCCTCCTACCTGCTCAAGTGCCCTGCCTTGCCCCACCCAGCCCAGCCTGGCCAGAGCTCCCTGGAGAAGAAGCCCTTTTGCTTAGCAGCTGGACCAAGGGAGCCAGTCTTGGGCACTGGAGGGTGAGGGGCTGGGAATGGAGGGGAGGGCATGGCTGAGGCTGGGGTTGGTGGCGGGAAAAGGAGAAACACTGCCCTGTCCTCGCCGTCCGAGAAAGAATTCCCAGGGCCTCATCTTAGAGAGGTTGTTGATTTGTTGCTGCTCTGTCTGCCCAGCTCCATGACAAGGGCTGGAAAATGATGAGACAAGAGCCAGGCTCCTGCTCCGGGGGGTCTCCTTGTCTAGAAGGTGGCAGTGGGAGGCAGGACAGTCCAGGAGGCCCTGAGCTAGGAGGAATCTTCCTGTGGTCAAGTCCTCTGTGACCTTGGCCAGACCCCAGCCTTCAGGCCTTGCCAGCAACAAGAGGTGACTTCAGGAAGTGACGCTCCAAGTCTTCAGGAACTTTCCAGCTTCAAACTTTTGTGATTTGGGGGGTTGCTAGAAAATTACCACTTTGGGATCTGCAAGTTGGGGAGGCTATGGTGAGAAGGAGCTGAAGGTCTAGAGGTGAAATTCCGATAGAGTGCTTGAGGGGCCAAGAGCCCAGACGCAGGGTGGCTGGGCCTGGGGGCCTTGGTGGGCCTGGCTGAGGAGCAGGGCACTACCCTGCAGCAGATGGGGAACCTCAGCTCCTTTGCAGGGGAGGAAGAGGAGGCTAGCCTGCAGTGCGATCCCGATAGTTGTGTGTGTGGGATGGTAAGCCCCTCCCCACCCACCTGGGCTGGCTCCTCACTGCTATGTCCCTCAGGCCCGTCCTGACCATGGTCCCTGCCTGGCTGTGGCTGCTTTGCGTCTCTGTCCCCCAGGTGAGCTGGGCACTGCCCCCTCTCCTTCAGGTCTTGGCCTTGGGGGTTGACACCCTTGCCCCTAACTCCACCTGGACGAATTGCACTGACTGTGAGAATGGTGCAAAGCATGGGAGGGGTCAGAGCTGGGACTACAGAGCTATCATGGGATGAGGAGGTCAAAGGCCAGAGCACAGGTGGATGGACTAAGGTACGGCCAGGCCCTGGGAAGGGGCAGAGATTCCCCTCTTCTGTTGGGTCCCAGTGCCCAGGCAGGAAGATAGAGCCTGGTGACAAGGTGAGAATCTTCCCACAGGCTCTCCCAGAGGCCCAGCCTGCAGAGCTGTCTGTGGAAATTCCAGAAAACTATGGTGGGAATTTCCCCTTATACCTGACCAAGGTGAGCCAGAGAGCTGGGGGGGTGGGAGGGTGGAGGGGATCCCTCCCCACAAAGTCCTGCTTCTCCTTCCTCTGGCACCCTTCCTCTTGCTGTTTCTCTTTGAAACCTTGCTTTCCAGAGAGTTATCCATGTTATACAGGTTATCCATGTTATACAGGTTGAGTGTCCCCTATCTGAAATGCTTGAGACCAGAAGTGTTTCAGATTCTGGATTTTTTTTCAGATTTTAGAGTATTTGCATATACATCATGAGATATCTTGGGGAATGCAACCCAAATCTAGACACGAAATTCATTTATGTTTCATATACACCTTATACACATAGCCTGAAGGTAACGTTATACATTTTTTTTTCTTTTGAGACAAAGTTTCGCTCTTGGCCCCCTGGGCTGGAGTGCAGTAGTGCGATCTCAGCTCACTGCAACTTCCACCTCCTGGGTACAAGAGATTCTCCTGCCTCACCCTTCTGAGTAGCTGGGATTACAGGCATGCACCACCACACCCAACTAATTTTTTTTTTTTTTTTTTTTTTTGTATTTTTAGTAGAGACAGGGTTTCGCCATGTTGGCCAGGTTGGTCTTGAACACCTGACCTCAGGTGATCTGCCCGTCTTGGCCTCCCGAAGTGCTGGAATTACGACTTTGGGATTTGCGAGCTGGGGAGGCTATGGCGAGAAGGAGCTGAAGGTATAGAGGTGAAATTCCAATAGAGTCCTTGAGGGGCCAAGAGCCCAGTGTGCGTCACTGCTCCTGGGTGAATATTTTTAATGATTTTGTGCATGAAACAAAGTTCTGGCTATGTGTTGACTGTGACCTGTCACATGAAGTCAGATGCGGCATTCTCCACTTGTCACATCATGTTGATGCTCAAAAAGTGTCAGATTTTGGAGTATTTCAGATTTCAGATTTTCAGGTTAGAGATGTTCAACCTGCAGTGGGAATGACTAACAGATTTTAATCCTAGCGGAGAGTACAGCTTTAGGTTAAAGAATGAAATCTTGGTGGTGAGGTTTCAAGCTTCAGAAAGAAGGGCAGGGAGTTTTGGGGAGCACCAGGTCCAGGGAAAAGAGTTCTGTCTCTGAGTCTCAGTCCTGATGCTTACTGACTGTGTGACCTCAGACAGGAGCCAGATGTCTCTGAGACTCAGTTTCCCCACATGTAAAATGAGGCCATTAGGTGGAGGGGGGTCATCTCCCA